CACACACACACACACACACACACACACAAATAAAAAATAAATAAAATAAATAATTAAAGCAGTTCAACAGAGAAGTAAGGCAGTCTTCCACAAGAGGTACCCAGGCCTGACACACCTGCAGGTCCGCTACTGCAGGGCAGATGCACAGCGAGTCGTGCAAGCACCTCACGGTAGCATCTCTGAGTACCTCTCAGGGGTGAGGCATTACAGGTGCGCACGAGCAGAGCACAAAGCTCTCGCAGATTTAAGTGACTGCTCCCTTATCTGTGTGTGGTTTGTCAAAAGAGAGGAAATGATTCTCAGATGTGTTAAACCCTGCTCTATGCCCATCTGCCGGGCAGGCACGAGAGCATCCCAAGTGAAGTATTTTATTTACTTAAACACAGAGGTGAACAAGGAAATCAAGGTCCTAAGAGGTATTCTTGCTTCTCCGGGAACTGGCATTTGCAGGCTCCTCACCTTCTCCATGTGGTACTGTCTGGGGTCTGTGTGCTGAGATCCATCCCAGGCTCTCCTCCCTGCCTGTCTCTGTTCACATGAAAACTGATTCCTACAGGGCATGCTGGGAGGGCCTCAGGTCTGCGGATGGCCTCTGGCCTGAGTTCAATCCCTGGTTCTGCTCCCCAAAAAAGCAACCTCTTGCATGAAAGGAAAGCAGACTTCAGAATAAGTGATTTATATTGGTCAAAAAATGCACGAGTGTATGACAGTGTTGTTCCTGCTATTCTGACACATTACTTTTATGCTGAACAAGAAGCATTTTGATTGCCTACAAAAACAGAAAGAACGACTGACATGTTAGCCACAGGCATGAAAGCAGCTGGGAAAGCAAGGCCGCCATTACCTCCTTGTCGTGGGCGATCAGCTGGGTCTTCACGTGGCCCGACACAAGATTCACTCGCCCCAGCACCTGCCCCGTCTCCAGCCCCCAGATGGTGCAAGTCGTGTCGATGCTTGAGGTACCTGTGGACACCGGCACAAGTCAGCGCCGACAGGGCTGAGGTTCCCGTGCAAGCTTCCCTCAGGGAGCAACCTGCCACAAACGCTTCTTGCGCGTCCGAAGTATCTAATCCTTATCTTAGGATGCTTAGATTTTAACTGAGGGCCAAGATATACACACAGGGAAAGCCCACCTCTACAGGAGGAATTACTATTCCACATCTACCCACTTCTCACTTGGGCCTGTTGTAGTTAGGATGCTACCTATACCTGTACCTCAGCCCCTAGCTAAAAACTGGGGATGTCAATGGCAGCAGAGCACGTGCCCAGGCATATAACGTCCTAGGCTCAATCCCCAGCACCAGTGACAAACTGGACCAGCGTTACACCGGATGCTTCCCCCCAGCCGGCGTTACACCGGATGCTTCCCCCCAGCCGGCGTTACACCAGATGCTTCCCCCCAGCCGGCGTTACACCTGATGCTTCCCCCCAGCCCGCGTTACACCTGATGCTTCCCCCCAGCCCGCGTTACACCTGATGCTTCCCCCCAGCCGGTGTTACATCTGAGAAAACGGAGAACTGCTTCTTCAAACTGGAATACATAGTCCCTGACTGCCTTACCTAGAAGATAAGGATCCACCTCATTCCAGTCAAAGGAAGTCAGGGGGGCACAGAAATCTGAGTTCTTGTTATTATTTAGCAAACATTCCAGCCTTGTCTCTGTTTCACCAACCTGAGAAATAATAATTTTTTAAAAATCAACCAGTTCTGTCCTCATACAAAATTTTAAAGCCCTACTCCTATAATACAGCATAAGACAAGTGGGATAGCATTTTATCATAAGGAGCAATGAAATCCTGGAGCTCAAAGCAGACTTCCTCCCAAAGCTTTCCTCTCAGGGGAGGTCTTCCTGCCTTGGCCCACCCTTGTCTACTGGGCTCAGGGCCGATACACAGTCTGCAGAGTTCAGCTGATGGTACAGGAGGCTCCAAAACATGCTCATATCATCTATTACTGTCAGTGGCCTAATATTGTGCTTAATTTACTCAAAGACATACTATCGACGGACTAACAGACCAGGTCCCCCTCGGCCCACTGCAGACGGGCTCCACCACGTCAGGCTGACTGAGCCTCAGGTTTCCAGGCTGACTGTGGCCAGCAGCCCGATTTACTAGGAAGATCTGCTGAGCCAGACAAGGCAGTGCGAGGCTCTGCTCCTGTCCCGGCGGCAGCGGCACTCACTTCCTCCCTCAGCCTGTCTTGTTCTTTGTGTCACACTGCTAAAGCTACCATGGGGAAAGCCCACTTGTCGAGCTGCAGGCGCGGCATTTGCTTACCCTCCACACACGGAGATAGTCACCGCTCGTCGCCAGCAGGTCTGGGTAGACTCCTTTTGTGTCAGGGATCCACATGAGCTTCGTGGTGGGGTATGGATGGTCAAAGGTGTTTCGGCAAATAAATTCAGAACTCTCCTCGTCCAAACCAACAAGCTGAACCTGCAACACACCAAGGTTGAGCTGCATGAGCGTTTGCTTTTCTGGAGTGGTATCAAATGTCTAACTGCAGAATCAGAAGCCATTACAACAGGAAGGAATGCAGACCGCGACCTCCCTGCCAGACGGAAACGTAGACTCAGGGCTCAGGGACACTCACCACCACCAAGACAGGAAAAGACAGGGACAAGATCTGAATTCGGGGGCTCTGGCTACAGGTCCAGTTCTGGTGACCCCACACCACACGACCGCACTGTCCTCTAGTCTGTCACACCTTCACCCACAGCTCTGTAACATCAGAAAGTATGAGGTGGTTCTGGTGTCCACGAGGACTGGAAACGCTGTGGGCATTTGGTGTGCAGGGGTGGGGGTACTGAATGCCCTGCACAGGCTCAGAGCAAACCAGCGTCCCACCTAAGAACTGTGTAGCAAGCAATAAGCACGTACGCACACGCGCGCGCGCGCGCACACACACACACACACACACCTCAACCTCAAAGCTGGATACTTACAGGCTTACATATAAGAATGCATGTGAGGTCAAGAATTCAAACCACAGTAATAAACTAAAACTAAAGCAAGTGGGTGTCACCATAAATCCCACCTGCTCCCACCAATCTACCTCTTCTTCTAGTCCTTTCTGGCCCCTTCCTTAACTTCCATCTTTTATGTCAAACTCATTCTGGCTCAGTAGAAACTGGCACTCAAATACATTTGCTTATGAACCACCAACTGGCTAATGGAATGGTATCAATTTTTGGTAAATACCAATAATAGGAAAAGCATTAATCACAGATTAGAAAAAGAACTTATGTTTCTAACCTCATTCAGTCTTTTATTACTAATATACCCTCCATTAGGTATAGATGCATACAGTAAAATTCACTCCAGTATACAGTTCAGTGAGTTCTGATCAATGTACAGCTTTGTAATCTCCACAGTAGTTAAGATACAGAATGCTTTTATCAACCGAAATGTTATCTCGGGCTCCTCCACAACATTCTACCCCAGCACTGATCTATGTATGGCTTTGTCTTTTTCTGTGTTACTTATATGTGGAATTTATAGTATTGAAATTTTGTGTGTAACTACTCTCACTTAGCATTATGTTCTTCTTTTTTTTTTTTTGGCCAGCTCAGCCTGCCATGAGGATGGGGCTCAACCATGGTCCTCTGCGTCTGCCTAAGCTTGCCTAAGCAGGCACTTTGGACCACTGAGCTATTTGCCAGCCCCAGCATTATGTTCTTGAAATCCATTCATGTTCCTGTATCAGTAGCTTATTTTCTTATTGCTATAAAATACTGCACTAATATAATTATAATTTATCCATTTATTATTCAATGCATGTTTGGATTACTTCTAGACTACAGCTATTATAAATATTGCTGCCATGAACACTTATGTATAAGTCTTTTTGCGGACTCACTTCTCTGGGTAGACCACTTCAAGGGTAGACTGCTGGGTCATATGATGAGTCTATTTTTAACTTTACTTAAAAACTATCAAGTGGCTTCCTAAAGTGGCTGTACCAGTTTGCATTCCCACAAGCAGTGCATCCGCACGCCAGGCGCTCCACATCCTCGTCAGCACCTGGGAGTGCAAACTGTTTAATTCTTGTGGTACTAGGGATCAAAATCTCAGTACTCCACCACTGACTTAAATCCCCAGCCCATTTTATTTTAGGACAAGGTCTCCCTGTGTAGCCCAGGCTGGCCTTGTGCTTTCACTCCCCTGCCTCAGCCTTCTAAGAGTTGAGATTTACAAGCATGGACCACCAATATGCAATTTTTTTTTCAATATGCATATTTTATCATCAGTGAAGCTCGACAGAAGGCCTGCTAAATTCTGACTATATGTTGAATCTATAGATCTCTTTGGGAAGAATTATTGTTAATATTGGGTCTTCCAACCCATAAATATAGCAGAGTTCCCATTTATTTAGCCCCGCTCTAATTTCTTTCTGCAATGCTAGAGCTTTTGGTATATTTAATGTTTTCATTAATTTCATTCCTAAATGATTTTATGCAATTATAAATGGATTTTTTTTTCCCAGAATTACCTAGCACTGGTCGGCAAATTCAGTTTCTTTCTTTTTCTTTTTTGGTGGAACCGGGGATTGAACTCAGGCCCTTGTGCTTGTCAGACAAGTGTTTATTCTACTGAGCCATCTCCCCAGCCCCAGTAAATTCAATTTCTGATGGTTCATTGTGACTACAAAATTTTTGTACGTTAATTATGGATCGGATTTTGTTTCCTTCGATTTTTATAGTGCTGAGGATCAAATCTAGTTCTTATACATGCTAGGCAAGCACTCAGCCACCACGGTATATTCTCAGTCTGTTTACAGATCTTGGCATCCATGTCTAACTTTTAAAAAGCTGTAAAATAACTAAATCTAAATAACCATTTTATGGAGCACTTGAGGGCTTTCAAATAATATACAATGTGTCAGGGAGATAATGTATAAAACTGTAAAAGGAGACAGAACGCAATGCTCCAGGACATGTAAGTGCAGTCAAAGGTGAATACACCGATTTTGTCACATCACACAGGTGATGACAGTTCAACAGAGAAAACCAATAATCCAAGCTAGGTGAGCAAGGTAGAGTTAGGATCCGAGCAGAACCCTGACAGCGCACGGGAAGGATCCACCTAGGCAACACAAGAGCAGAACTGTCTCAGGAGGCGGAACAGAGTGAGCCTTCAAGCAGACCCATTCGGGAGGAGCTGCGTGGGGAGCAGTGGAGACAGAGTGCTGAGGGACCCCGAGAGCACCCCCACAGGGCGCCTGACAGGAGAGCAGTATGGCTATGACGCCCCCAAGGATGACAGACCCGGACAGGACAGGCTGGATTTGGGCAGTGCAGAGGAAACAGGAGGGAAAGGAATAAGGGCTTACGGGGACAGGTAGTAAGGTATGCCCAGGGAGGGCTACAGGGAGACTGTGACCACATGAACAGACCTTACGGGCAGTCAGAAAGCTCACGTTCTAATCTTTGCAGAAAGCAGTGTGGGCCGGGCATGGTGGTGCACGCCTGTAACCCCAGCACTCAGGAGGCTGAGGCAGGAGGATCACTGCAGGTGTGAGGCCAGCCTGGGCGGAATACCTACGGAGTTCAAGGCCACCCTGCACTACACTGGGAGACCCTGTTTCAAAACAGAAAAAAAGGTAGCGTGTGAAGGACAATTTGTGATGGAACAGGAAATATCTGGCACCATCACTGGTGGGAGGAAGAAGATAAAACAAACGAGAGGGGCTGGTGAGATGGTTCAGTGGTCTAAAGCACCTACTTAGAACAAGCTTAGCAAAGCACAGGGACCGCGGTTCAATCCCCCAGCACCACATGCCAGCCAGCCCTGCCCCCTGGTGGGCTGAGCTGGCCACACACACACACACACACACACACACATAAAAATAAAAATTTTTTTTAAAATAAAAAAAAATAAAACAAACGAGAGGCTAAACTATGGGCTCAGTGGGCTGAAATAAGCCTCTAATACAGTTCTGGGCCAGGTATTTCATTCCTGTACTCATCCAGCAAATACTGAGTGGCTATTACCACGTCTGCCAGCAACAGTTGTAAGCAGTCGGGGTCAGAGCTGAGCACAAAGCTCCCAGTCCCTCTTTCTAAGCACGCAGGCAGCACCACGAGGTTAAGCTAGAAGACAGAAGGCGACGCTCACTTCTAAAACCTGCCTTTCCGAGTCGTCAGGCGCTTCCTCCCAGCCCCCAGGACAAACTCTGCCACCTCCGTCCTAATCACGCTCACTGATCACTTGAGCTCCGCTGGCTGGCTTGCCGCAGGCCGGGGCAGGCTGCGTTACTCCACTCCATCCATCCTGGCTCTCCATCCATCACGGCACCTGCCCCAGAGCTGCACACACACAGTGCTTTCCTCAGTGCAGGAACTTTTACTATTATACTTCTCCCCTCCGCTGTAGGTCACCTGCAGTTTTCCGGGTTCCGTGAGCTCTGCTGGTACGATCCACTTGGGGACTAATTCCACATGCCCTGGGAGCATCACTGTCCACTCAGCACTGTAAATGCCTTCGCGAGGGTCTGCCTGGTTTCTTCTTGCACAGCATGCAGCAACAGCTTCCGAGTCTGGCCTGCCTGCTGCTACTCCCTGCCTGCCCTCGCCCACCTGTGCCTAGGTACCCTGCAGGTCCTTTTCTTCTTTCACCCCTTCCCTCTCTCTCTTCTTACAGGACACCAAAGCGAGTATTTTGGCAGGGCCTACGGCACAGCTCAGAGTAGGGGTGTACACAGGAGGGGGCCCTCCCAGGCTGAAATTCCAATGCCTTGTCCTCAGGAGGCCAAAGTCCCAAGAGAGGGGTTCTGTATTAGGAGGTACGTGTGTTTCACTGTTTGAGACAGGCTTTCATTCTGTAGTTTAGGCTGTTCTCAAGCTCACAGCGAAGCGCCCACCTTGGCTTCTTCAGCGCTGGGATTACAGTTCCGTTCTACCACCCCTGCCTGGCCTTTCTTCCCCTGCCCTTTCTGTGGTAACGGGCTCAAAGCTAGGGCCTTGACTACTCTAAGCACGTGCTCCATCACTGATCTACATCCCCACCTCAAATTTTAAAGTTCTGCAAGTTCTTTCCACATAGCTCACAACCAGAAAGAACTGGGAGGGCAAGGGCAAAACCGAGGACACGGCTGGGAGAATGACCCAGCTCAGGGCCTAGTGCCGGGCACTCCATACCCACCCGACGGTCCCACTCTCCCTAGCTCTGTGGTTCTCAGTCACGGCTCTGTGTTAGAATCTTTTCAGAACTGGGCCCAGTGCCCAGGACCACAGCCTAGTACAGTGAGGCAGCACTTCTGGTAATGGTTTCTGGGTACCAGCAGCCACTAGGCACCCCACGATATCCGAGCACAGGCAAGGTTAAGAAGTGCACCGTGGCCGACTGACACAGTTAGTTGGATGTCTGGGCTGAGCAGACTCACTCCTGGGACTCTGGAATTCACATGCTAGTTATCCTCAGTTCTTCGCACGAGG